CACTGTGTGAAGGGTGGGGTGGGCACTGTGTGGTGGGTGTGGTGTTCATTCTATCAGTCTGTGGGAGAGGGGCTGTGTGCCCAATCTAAGAGCAGCTTTATCTGTTTATTTTCACTATTATTTGGGTGCTTGTTTGTTGAGTAGAGGGACTTGGGCTTTGGGGAGAGGCAGAGCTTTGAGCTGAAGACAACAGACTTCAAACTACCTTCTCAATAGTGAAGACACATGTGGCTTGGAAGACTATCCTGTCTAGTAAGTGGAGGGAGAGAGGAGACGGAGGGACACACACACAGAGAGAGAGAGAGAGAGAGAGAGAGAGAGAGAGAGAGAGAGAGAGAGACTATTGATTATAAGATGGAGTGAGGTGAGTCCCTTTCCTTTTAGTAGTATCTTACTAAGTGGGTGCCCATGCCCCCCTTTCCATCTCTTCTCTTTCCAGTGTGTTTGGCCAAATTTTATTTTTCCTATAATCCACAGATAACCATTTTAATTAAAATTTACAAAAAACAAATCCAATGGCATGTGGGTTTTCCTCAGCTTGGGAAGCCACCTAGACACATACGTAAATCTTTCCCATCAGATACTGGCTGTGGGGGATGCATGCTTCTCCCCTGGCTGGGGCCTGGGCTCTTGGGGTAGGGTGGGCTCCAGGTTACCTTCGGTGCTGTGACGAAGTGATCCCACCTCTGCCCCATAGACTTGTCCTTGTTGATCTTCTTTATTGTGCTCTTGCTGCCACCTGGGTCCCTGTGTAACAAACAGCTTAATGAGTTTTCAGTTTGCAGGGTCTCTGTTTATTACAGCCCCCACCCCATTCCTACAGAAACAATAAATTCAGGTTGAAAGGTCTCTGCTATGGTTTTCTTCTCCTACTGTTTTTTTTTGGGGGGGGGCAGTTCTCAACAGGTAGGGCTTTTGGGGTAAAAACACCGGAGGCTAAGAGATACCACCCTCTCCTGGGTGAGGACTGTGGGAGGTGGGGTATATTTGCATGAGTTCTGGATACTTGGGCCCTTTTACTGAGTCCAGGGCGAGGATGCAATTGTGCTGGGGGCAGACAGAAAAGTGGCTTCCTTTCTGCACCTGTGCCTTGTCCATGGATCACAGGCACTACTGTCAGGAGCACCTCTGAGTTGATCAGAGGGCACAGTGTGACTGGACGCCCCGGGGAGGGTGTGTGTGGGTGTGTGTGGTGAGTTGCATGGTAAAATCACTGGATTTTAGCTTACTGCCCAGAGTTAGGGAGATGTTCTGTGCCAGGTGCCTGTGGGCTCTCAGGGAATCCTCTCCATTACTGTCACCTTGAGCCAGAGTCATTTTCACTGCCCTTTGCAGCTGAAGAGGACCAGAGTTCCAGGCCCCTCCCTCACACAGGTCCCTGCCATGGGGCTGGGCTTCTGAGCTTTTCTCATGCTGTGATCCTGAGTTTTTTTGTTTTTTTTTTTTCTGGAGTGCCCTCCTCCTCCATGTAAGTAAGTTTCAAGACTTGCAACATCATCATGCCCTTCCCTCATGGCCTGGGAACTTCCTGGATAAGAGACTAGCTCCCGGCTCCCCTTCCCCAACAAACAGGCTGTGTGGTGACTCCCTCCCTCCCTCATTCCCCCCCTTCCTCCCTCACCATGCTGGCCATGCTGGCGGTTTTGTTTGTTTGTTTGTTTGTTTTTTGAATGGGACACACTGTGCATGCTATTATGGCCCCTCCAATGGAACATGTCTGGAACAAAGTAGATATTCATACTCGGCGAGAGAAATAAAGACTCTAAAATAGGGGTTCCTTGTCAAGTCTCAGTTTGGTTCATTTTGGTTCAAGTCTAAATTTTGTGGTCAGATGAATTATGAAAAAGCTGAGATTTTAGAGCCTTTAGATTTTAAATTTAATGGTTATGGGACTTTGGGTCTTTATTGATACACAAATGAGCAATCTTACTGTGTGTCTACTTACCTTCCCATCCATCCATCCATCCATCCAACCACACACCCATTCATCCTTCCATCCAGCCACACTTATCCATTCACACACCCATCCATCCACATTCCTACCCATTCATAAATTTCATCATCCATCCATCCATCCATCCATCCACCCATCCATCCATCCATTCATCCATCCATCCATCTCCTTTTTAACCCCCTTTTCTCTGAAGGATGATTTTGGATGTGTAAAACTGGTCAAGTACTTGGCTGGCTCTCAAACTGCACAGAGCAGGGATTTGATGAGATGAAGTGATCAGAGCAACTTTGCTATTTGAGGGGGGGAGTGTCACTCACAGTGTCTAGGCTTGTCAGTGCCTGCCCCCAATGACAGGTGTGGATCACAGTATTCAGAAACAGGGGGTGAACACAGTCAGATGAACTGAACTTAAGGCTGGTTTCTCATGATGTGGGTCTCTGGGTGGCAGATCCACAGGTTGTCACCAATAAGGTGGGGGGCTCTTCTGCCCCTGAGGCAGGGCCTGTTGGGTGTCTAGCAATTCACAACCATAACACAAGAAACCGACCCCGGGGGTGGGCGCCGGGCTGGGGTGGGGGTGGGATGTGCCACCAAGCTTTTTGTAGGACTTTATGTTTGATTGCACAATAAAAAGCTCTGAATAATTAACAGAGAAGTTCATTTGAGTTGGTTCTGCTTGCTTTTCCCTAGAGTAATCAAATTAGGGAATATTTAAAATCTAGCCGGAGGAAGGAGCCGAGCTCCATCCAGCCTTATACACAGTATTTAAACAGCAGCACTTCTAAAGCCTGATTTCAGGCTAACCAACAGGCGGCTTTGGTGTTCCCACGGTGTCTTTCATGACCACAGGGCTTTTTGGCTTTCTCCTTTGCTAAGGCAGCCCCTGCTGAGCTGCCAGTGCCTTCTTGAAGTTCAAAAGCAACCTCCTTCCCCTTTCAAAATTAATTCTGGGCCCAGACAAGCTTTCGAAATCTTAAATATTCAGGTCCAATCAGGAAGATAGAAGCCTTCTGCTAATGCTGACTTCCAAGGCGACCTGAAGTCTATTGCAACTTCAAGCGGCAGGCTAAATGAACTAAAGAAGCTTCCAGGTCCCTTTAGACCTTCCGAAGCCCTCAGCACTCCCTCTGCAAAGCTATTGATAAAGGAGAGACCAGGTTAGGCAGAACCGGTCTCTCTGATGTTTTGTTCTCAGTAGCAAATAAACCCAAAAGGAGGATCAATAGGAGGGGAGCAAAGATCAGAAGCAGCCGGAGTAGGGAAGTCCACTCTGCACCTTGCTACGGAGGCTAAAATCCAGTTGGCGAGCCTTCCCCGTTAGCACTGTTCACCAAATGGAACCCCACTTCCCTGCCCCCTGAAGTCCATGTCTCTCTGTGACTTGCTTTCTTTTCTTTTCTTGTCTTTTTTTTTTTTTTAATACATGACCATAGAGCAGCAGGTGGCTGTTTAGGTGGATGCTTTGCCATCCAGTCCCCAAGTCAGTAGATTCCATTCTGCTCATGGTGGGAGCTTGGGTTAGATAGAGCCTCCATCTGCCTGGCTCCCTGCTAGGCTATAATGAGCAAGGCCCTGGTGTTGCATGAGGAGGCTGAGCCAAAAGCCAGTTTCAGAGGTGGGGAGGAGGAAGCAACAGTGGCTCATTTAGCACATCTGATTGATTTGCTGTCCAGGGATCAAGTGACTGTCCTTGCTTATCAGAACCTGTTGTTCTGCTGGAGTCTGTCCGACCCGTCCTTCTATGAGTGTGTGAGTGTGATTTGTTCAGGGTTATTAGTTTCTCCCAGCCTCAGGCCCCACCTGTAACATGGGGCTTAAGCACACCAGTTGGGCCAATAGCTTGTTGTGGGTGTGAAAAGAAACGAGTCACAAGTGGGCTCATCCGGTCTAGCTATTAAAAAGAATAGCACGAGTTCATCCACCAAGATCTTGGTGTGGCTTTGAGAAGGAGTTGGCAATGGTGGGAAACGAGGTGGGGCACACGGCTCTCAAAGGGAGAAAGCTGTGATTTTCAGACCATAATTTTCCCCCCACCGATGCTTTCTGGGGGCGCCTGTTTCCCAGAAATCAAGGGGAGAGAGAGCACTGGGCTCAGACTTATCTGCGCGCAGGGTGCTCCAGGCACATTCTGTTCTTGGAGGTCACTTGATGATGTCTATCTGTCAGGGCAATCAGAGCAATTTTCTCAAACACTTTACTCTCACTTTCCCAACTCCAATTTGGGATAAAGTGTGTTCTTCTCAAGAGGAAAATCTGTGGGCCACTTTAGGATGTGCACCCGGCTCTGTGGCTGAGGGGAAGAAATGCTGATTATACACCAGGGAGGCTGCAGTGGTCCAAACTCTGCAATCTTTCTGGCCAGGTAGTCCTTCTTCAAAAATAAGGTGACCTCATGATTGTGCCATGTTCTTCCACTCCTGAGATGTTGGCCTGAGTACCAGGGTGAGGAGGGATACCCTTGTGTTGGCTGAGAAGAGGAAAGTGGGGGGGCAAATCAGACATTTCACCCAGAATGCCCATTCTAAAAGCATCTTCCTTGGTGACCAAATGGAAATCAAGCCTCTCCCATCACCGTCATGTCTCCCATCAGATTCCTTGCAATTGTGCTTGTTTATATTGCAGATTTTTAAAAATTCCATTTATTTTATGTATATGAGTGTTTCGTCTGCATATAGGTCTGTGCACCACAAGCATGCCTGGTTCCCATAGACATCAGGAGAGGCCACTGGATCTCCTGGAACTGGAGTTACAGGTGTCTTTGAACCACCGTGTGGGTGCTAGGAACCAAACTCTGGTGCTCTGCAAGAGCAACAAGTGCTCTTAGTCTTTGGGGCATCCTTCTAGCCTTACAGATTGTATTGATCTGTGCATGTTCACTGTTGATTGCATCCTCCAGTCCTTTTCCTGGGATGGTCACTCTGGTGGGCAGTGGCACGGTCCACTTCCTTTACCTCAAATTTCCCAGCAGTGGCTGGGAACCCCATTTAAATATAAAAATGGTTAAATTAGAAAATTGCTTATTATGTGTGTTCTTCAGAATTCTGCCACGTTTTTCACAATGATGAGAACTTAAATCTGTGAAGCGTAGTTACTGATCACCTCCAAGGTGTGGGTTCACATTTGGAAGGGTTCTTCTTCTGTTAGGTCAAATAGCACACATTCTGTATTTGCAAAATTGCACATCCAGAACGGCTTCTGAAACTGTTTTATAAGAGAAGACTTATTCTATGTCTAAGGTGAATCAGACCCTGCAGGGTCATGTTCTGGAAGCCTGTCCCAGATGGTAGTGCCGTTTTTTGGCTTTGGAACCTTTAGGAGGAGGCCCTATTGGTAGCAGGAGGTCACTAGCCCTGAGTGTCTGGACTCTTAATACAAGTTAGGATTAGCCAGAGCTTGCTAAAATGCAGATTCTCAGGCCCACTCAGATCTACCAACTCGGTGGCTTCACTGCACCAAGATCTTCAGTTACTTCACTATATTCCATAGATTGAGAGGCCTTGCACTCACAGAAATGTTCTACAAAGTATGAAGCAAGCAGCATATGCATGACCATTAGCTTATAAAAGTCAGTCTTCCACCCACCTTGTTTTCTGACAAGGCCCATGCTGTCTCTCTGGTGTAGCCTGAGGTAACCAGACTTAGATAATCACACTGCTCCTGTGTTCTTCCCTCATGGTAAACCAGTGGCTGCTGACTCCCCTCTCTGTTCCTTGAGGCTTGCCACCATTGATGAGGGCTGGTGTGGCCTTTCTCCCCAACCTGTGTGTGTGCCCAGTCACCATGGTAGTAGAACTGTAGAACTCTCTTCCTGCGTTTATTTCTTTACTGGCTTGAAGTCTCAGAGGTGCTGATGAGCACAGCTCTATTTGCTCTTCAAGGCAGAGATTTTTATCTTCAATGACTGTCACAGAATGAACATTCACTGTGTTTCTAGATCTGAGCTTGCCTGGTCTTAGGAATAACTTCTTTTGGGTCAGCAACCCATTTGATAGGTGATGAAACACAAGCCAAGAGGTTAAGTGACTTTCCTGTGATCACACGGCAAGTGGCAGGGTGTGGGGTCATATAGGCTGATTCCAAACCCTCTACCTTCTCCTTCAGAATTGGGGATTGAAGTGAGGGCTTTTGCACTATGGTTTTGCACATGATTGACCAAGGTACTGGTGAAGATGTATATTCAAAGGTTCTTCCTAGTCTTTTTTGAGATGCAGTCATGCTAAGTTGCCCAGACAGTCCTTGAACTTGAAATCCTCCTGCCTCAACCACTATAGTTAGCTGTGGTTATGGGTCTTGGATACCAGGCTGAAATGATGCCCAAACTCTTGATCTCAGTCATTCAAATCCACCTGGGTTTTAGGAACACACATCCCAGGCTTGAGAAGTCAATGTGATGGCATCGGGTGAAACCTCAAAGATGAACAAAGCATCCAGGAGAAGGTGTCCTACTTTCTGGATGACTGAAAAGATGTTTTCATGCTCTTTCTATGGAACTTAACCCCACAATTAACAATTTATGAATCTTATATGGTGATGTGGTGGGGCCAGTTTGTATTGGTTTTCACTGGCTATTAAGAGCTGATACACATGGCTTCTGTATTAGTCAGGGTTCTCTAGAGTAACAGAACTTATGGAATGAATCTATCTGTATCTATCTATCTATCTATCTATCTATCTATCTATCTATCTATCTATCTATCTATCTATCTATCTATGGAATTTATTAGGATGACTTAAGGCTGAGCTCCAGCTAATCCAACCACAGAGTGATATGAATGGGAAAGTCCCAGAACCCAGTAGTTGTTCACTGCACAAGCTGGATGTATCAGTTGGTCTTCAGTATACGCCAGAATCCAGATGAAGCTGTAGGCACTAATGCCAGTGAAGGAATGGACTTGCCATCTAGAGTTAGGGTATGCAGACAAAGATCAAAAGCTTCCTTCCTTCATGTCTGTATATAGGCTCCCAGCAGAAGGTGTGGCCCATAGAGGTGTGCTTTCCCAGCTCAGTATCTGTCCACAGGGACTTGATGAGGGTGCTTCTCTGTCCACTCAGTAGAATTCCCTGCTGGGTATTCTTTTCCATGATGAAAGACTGGAAGCTTTGTGTGTGGCGCTATGGAAAGATGGCCATGAGTCATTGTCGCTGCTGCTATGTTTGTGTGTAGTCACAAGGGAGGGAGGCATGAGATGTGGGACAACCCGACTTACACCCTTAGAGAGGGATTTATAATCTGAGGCAGGGATTTCCAAGGTGGTATAAAAGCTTGTGGGGTCTGGAGAAGGGTTTTGCAAGAGAAAACTGAATCAACTTATTACTTGGGCAGTTTTGTTTTAAATAAATATAGATGGTGCATGGAAAGTAGCTTTTTGTGAATTAATTTTTGGTGTGTGTGATGTATGCCTGCATGTATGTGTGTACGTGGGTGTATGTGGAGTGCACTCATCTGTGTGGGTACATGCAGAGGCCAGGGGCTAACACTGGATGCTGTCTTCCATTGTTCTCCACCTGGAGAACAGAGTCTCTCCCTGAATTTGGAGCTTAACATTTCATTTAGACCATCTGGTCAGTGAGTCCCTGGGATCCACCTATGTCTACTCTTCAGTGCTGGGGCTACAATCTCTGGGCATGCAGGTGAGGACTGCTAACATGGGGCCTGGGTTTTCATGGTGCAAATCAATGCCTCAAGTTAGGGTTCTTTACCCTCTTTTGTTACTGTTGTTTCACTTTGGCAAACATATGGGCCTTCCAAAGATGATGGCTCTACAAAATGAAAACTATCTTTAAAGCTCCTGAAACAGTGACCTCAAAGCTCTGGTATGAGTCATCCCTGTGGTGATGACACAGCTTACATTTTCATGGCTTCATCAACATTCTCTAGAGTTTCCATCTGGTTGTACCTAGCTGCTCCAGAACTGGAACAAGTACCTTAGTTCTAAGTGGAGAACTTTTATATATATATATATATATATA